TGAGCGCTTCATGTTTGCTTTTAGGCTATCGATATTCAGAAGCATAGAGAGAGCAGTGGAGAAAGCACAGGTCTGATAATCGCAACGTTCGTGGTTCGATTCCAGTCGGCAATCTGTTTCCTATTTTTTTTTCGACATAACTAATTTACCTCACCAATACACTCTACATTTTTCGGTCTCCAATTTTCTTGCATTCGACCGCAGCTAGCTATATCGCATCCTCGGTTCATGTGGTCTCCACTAACATCCTCTGATGATGAATCCCACATAATTGTAAGCGAATCTTGTATCCACCGGTTGGGTGTACTGTTTTTTTACCGCCCAGCACAAGTTTGATGTTCTGGAGGAAGTAAGGAAGCAGAAACTTTCAAAGTTTGCCAAGAAATAAATGATTTGGTAAGCGATCTGCTCATGTGACAAACGGAGTGCACCGTTCGTGAGTACCGGGACTGTAAACGGGAAGATCTACCTCAAGGAATGTCTACAGAAGCGTCTGCTCCGTCTGTTGAAGCAACACGAGGGCCCTACGATCTTCTGGTTGGATCTAACTTCGTGCCACTATTCAAATATTGTTCTGGAGTGGTACAAAGCCAACGTGGTCACTTTCGTACCCAAGGACATGACCCCCCCCCCCAACACACTGGAACTAAGGCCCATCGAAAAATACTGGGCTGTTATGGAGCAGGCACTACGGAAGCATCTCAAGGAGGTTGTAGCTCCATTAGATATTAAAGCTTTATTACTTAAAAATATCGCTCAATTATGTATCTTAGACACTTAAATATGATTTCATCATCAATGGTAGTAGTTTTTATATTTGTTACTTTCCTATTCCAACAAAACTTAAAATTTTGCCGAAGATACTTTTTTGTTTTGACGCATCGTTTCAAAGGTATTGAACATTATATTGAAGGCCATTAAATTTGACATTTAACTCAGAGTGAACGCTCATGAGTAGTAAGATTGGTGAATGTGGTGCTGTGAAACCTCTTCTTGTAAATTACATATGCTAGAGAGGACTTTGTTTATCCCCTGACGATAATAGGTTTATGTATATCCGAAGCCGAAATTTCCCTTAATTATCATTTTTAACATCTAATGAATTCATAATTCCGAAATACAGCAACCCTGTTCAAAAGTCATATCTACATAATGACACAAAATTGCACCCAAGAGTTTTCTGGTCTAATAGCATTCAATACTTGATATAGGGGATATGGCTCAAAATGGAGGCGAACCAACCCAAGGCTGAAAGCCTCCCTAATAAAGATAAATTAATTAATATGGCTCTAATGTTGGCATATGGACCTAAGATTGGGCCCATCGCTAAAAGTTTGCTATTTATCAATTGTATCTAGATGAACGCGTCATTGGGAAGGTTGATATTTTTGGTCGCTATTGATAATTTTGTCGATTACTGAATTTATGTATGGGCCCAAATCAGGGGCATTTAGGCCGACATTACATCCATTTCCTCTATATAGAAAAAGTTAAGGTCGGATCTACTTGGAGCTGTTGATCTATGGATAATTTCGAGCCATTCAATTTAATTTTAGAACTGATCATTTGAACTAACAGACGTTTAAAAAATATCCCCGATGTTAATCTTTGCATACCCAACTTTTCTAATCTAACCTAATACAAACGCAGCCAGTACGAGAAAGCATCCTGGCAAATTGGGTTAGATAACGCCTAATCATTTTGCTTGTCAACATGCCGGCGCCGGTGGTGTAGTGGTAAGCGTGACTGCTTTCTAACACCCCAATGGGTCTGGGTTCAATCTCCCAGCCGAGGCCGGTGGGATTTTTCTGAGGCATAGAAATCTCTGGTAGTAAAGCCGTTGGTCCCGGCCCATGGTTATTGTTGTGAATGGGTGCGATATCCTACGCAGGTGTGGAAGCTGCCTTCCTGCACATTCGATTGCCGTCAATGGATGGCAATCGATGTCCGTCGGTGATTGGCACTAGATTGCGGAATAGAAACCGACGTTAAATAAAGGAAAGAAGAAGAAGAAGAAGAAGAAGAATAAGAAGAAGAAGAAGGAGAAGAAGAAGAAGAAGAAGAAGCTTGTCAACATTGATTTTTGCAGCATATCTGACATAAACATCAATACGGCCAGGCCTACTGCGTTGCATTTGCCACAAAGGTGATTCTGTGAAATGATTCGAGTTTAAATTAATATAGGGGAATTTACGTATTCTCGGCAACCTAAGCAGCGACCTTCTTTCTATAGCCTTTTTCTCTATGGAACGCACACATATGCAGTATTGGTTTGTTTACAATCTTTTGCTGCCAGCTGCTCTACCAATTTCAGTCAAAAGAATTGTCAAAAACTGTTTTGAAACGCTTTTACAAAGCTCCAATCTTCTCTAGTGAGAGCGAGTATTGTCGGCAACCAGTTTTTCTTCGGCAACCGTTCCATTTGAACTGCATGTAAATCTGCTGTTCTTTTATCGGCAACTCGAAATCAGCTACAATTTGTAGTGCGTGTGTTTCATTTCAAGAAAACCCTGCTAGATTGCTTTTTCTCTGTGGTAAAAATATAGTCAAATTGAAGCTGAAAGCATAAAGAATCGTTTGCATGCATTCAGCGAAGTGTTTTCGCAAGAAAATCCAGTGAAAATAGTGTTTCAATTTGGGTTGCCGAAAATAGTCTGTCATGCCGAAGCCGTCATTTCCCCTATTTAAACAGCGATGCATTTCGTGAATCTACAGGGGTAGAAGGATGCTTGGACATACCGTACCAAACGCTTCGAGTTATGTAAGAGTGAATTTAACAATCATATGTTTTGTAATGAATGGTTTATAAAGAATAATTGAAGGATGTCACCAAATGCCTCCAAATGTACCCCAAATTCCTAATGAAAAAAAAAAAAAAAAAATGGAATGATCTCACCCAAACTGGTCGGTTTGACTGCAGACTAAGATTTTTTGCCGAGATGGGCACCACCGAGCAGCTCGCCATTTTATTTACTGAATCTCAGTGAAACATTCTCCGAGATTCAGCAAAATTTATGTTTGTTAGCTGAGATCTCTGCAAAATTCCCGTTTGAATCTCGACTTTGTTTGTGTGATCATCAACTTTTCCGGACTTCTCTATTCCACGATTTTCTTCAGTAGCTTTTTAGCTGCTGTTTGTTGTCCTCCGCCAGATGCTTCGTCTTCATCACACAGCTCGGAACGAATGCCGTACACGGATCTTCGTTCTCTTCTGTTTTCTTCTTACCGTGTTTTCCAATGAGTACTAACTGTAGTTCAACCTCTTCTCATTAGAACCAAACAAATATTTCGTGGCTTGCAAAACGACCCTAAGGATCAAGGAATTTGTCATTGGAATGATGTTTTTCTCAGATCACACTATTCACATCGGCCAAAAGGGAAATGTTTATTCGATCTTCATGCAAAAGATTGACAGCGCCAGAAATTTGAACCGTCCACTAACAGAGCCTACTTCGATTCTTTGCAAATCCAACCTTTATACTCTGAATAGGAACAAAAATCTCCCATAGCTGCAAATCAATCAGGAATTGCTTCTTGTCTATGACTAGATACTGAAGAAGTTTGCAAGTAGTAAACGAAATACGTTTCTGCCATTGTTCAAAGTGATGTTAAAAGTTAAATAGTTAAAAGGAAATTGATACAAAAGTAGTAGAACTAAAAAGAAAAATCGACGAAAAAGGTATACAATTTGTCTACTAAAAGGCTTATCAATCAATTTAGATTCTTATTAATATTCCAATATGAAAACAATAAATTTCCATATTATGTTACAATCGACCAAAATTATGGATAACCGTCGTAAAATCTAAAAACAGAACTTTCAATCAATCAAATGCTGTTTTGATAGGTCAAGAAATCACGTAACTTATTATTTAGGCAAAATAGGTAGGTTAACAAGGCAATTTAACTGTTTTTAAATAAATTATTTAAAATTTTTATTCTTATCATCGCCTTCGCGGAAATTCTTTTGAGATCAAACCATACCAAAACACATTGCTATACGATAGCCTGCTCGCCTACTGAATTATTTTCACTCTTTTGACTAGCATATACATGAAACATAAATCAGTTCTAAAATCAACTTGAACTACACGAAATGTTTCATAATTCAAAAGTTCCAACGTTAAATTTTGTCTAGTATTGAATGCTATTGGCCCTTAAAATTCTAGGGTGCGATTTTGTGCGATTACGTAGATATGACTTGTGAAAGTTATCTAAAATTTAATGGTCTTTGGTCAACGATACGTCAAAGTTAGGTTTAAAGTTTTTTTTTAATACGTCAGTAGAAAAGCTTATTTTGAGACATTTAATAATAAAATAATAATATCTTGAAAATTAAGACAGCTACAGCTTTGACGTCTGTCATATATTTTTTTTACTAACAAACAACTATGTCGAAGAGAACAAACCTCCAAAGTGAGTAATGATAAGGATAAATTTTGAATAACAGTTTAGTACAATATTAGTACAATTATTGCTAGACCAAAGATGTCACTTTTTTATTTAAAAAAATCCCAAGTCGCTAAGTCACAAAACTTACTTGTTTTGGAGCTATTATTTTGTTCCGCTAGATTGCATTCCTGGATCAGGTCCTTTTAACCATGTGTTTCTCGTTTCGATAATCCAAGTTTGTTCACATAAGATGAACTATTTTTCAGGGACTACACTGTCTACTTAAGCGGGATTGTGGGTCTTTCTTCCCACTGTACACGAGTTAGACGCATCCAATACCATTTCGAACCACTTTCCCGTTCGTTCGTATTTCAATCACCACAAAAGTTCATCGATCTCCGAATCACCGGCACCGGTATCAGCAATGGGTTTAATTGAATTTAATCGAATTTTCTAGTTTGTCACCGATGACGACGACGACGAGACGATGCAAACATCCCCGAAACGAAACACGGCAACATCTGTATCATGTTTTTAATATGCTCGACTTAACGATTATGGTTTTTCACTCACCAATTTCCATCTCTCTGTATCTGTTTCAATTCCAGGTGCCACTGTATTGCTGAATCGATCGTTTCCACAGTCCTGGATGTTGTCCCCGTCTCCCGCCCCTACCGCGGCAATTCAAGTGATGATGAGTAATCGAAACTTGCTGCAGTGGATAAGCTGTACGAGCGACTGAAACGTGACATTTGGGGACGGATTGCGGGTAGAAGGGACGACGACACAGGTTGAAATACACTGTTAGCAACACCAACTCCGGCACACAGGGGACGGATTAAACGTACGATGAGCTATCAGCAAGGTGAGTCTATGGAACTGTAGTTTTGATTGCAATTTTCGATCGAGGGGAATTTCCCCCTTTCGAATGTGGTACAAACTGGGAAATGGCTTAAAATCGGTGCCGGGTGATTTGGTGAAAAGCTGGGATAAATTACACTCGTTCAAAAGAACACGGAAGGTTCTTGTTCCGAAAGGGCTCATCTTTTCAGAAATTCTATGTTTATTTTGTATTGAATGTTGACAAAGAAACAGAAATTAGGTCGCCTCATTTGAGAAAAACTCATCGAAGAGTGCCCTGAAAAGTGTCCCATTTCCTACCCATTCTCATGGCCTCCTATTGCCAATGTGAGTGTGTGCCAGTGGCAGTTTTGGATATTGGCTGATAAGAGTCATAAAAATTTACGAATGCCATATCCGGCCGGTGCCTTCCTGTTCAACCTGCCCGGGTGGACCAGTGTTAAATTTTATCACATGCATTTCCACTACTTCTGGTGGCTCTTGCCTGAGGAGGGGTCTAAATCCAATCATCTTGACTTGAATTTTGCCCACTTATCACCCGCTACGACGACGGCGACGAGGACGACGATGATAAGGGCTCTTGGCGAATAAAGGTGACGTTCATCGAACCTGAATCACGTCTCTGCAGAACGAGGTCATTTTCTCCAAACAGCAGCAGCGGAGGGAGCGGAAGGCTGAACAAAAACTGAAAATTTTATCAACTCTCGCCCAGCCCTGGGTGGTGCGGAGAACGGCGCGCGGTGGCAATCAATAAGAAAAGACTCACTTTGGATGATTTCTTTTTCTGTTAGCAGCGCTTTTATTATTTACAGCATAATTCCGAAATTGGCAAAATTTACATAAAGCAAGCAGCAAATTGAACAAGAAAATTAAATCGTTAAATTTGGCAGTGGAAGTTGTTCTACCGAAGAAGCTGGAATTCGAACGCTCCGGTGTGGTGGCAAAAATTGTTTGGAAAAGTGAAGGAGCAATAAAAATGGAACACTTTTTGCGAGGTTCTTTTCCTGCACGAGGGGATTTAATTAAACCATAGAAATTTGGCGTTTTCACTTTTTTTTTTCTGCCATTCCCAGTCAAGTGCTGAGGGTGGTGAAAATCTTATGTTCGTATAAGAAGAGAGCAATCGTAAGAGCCGCTGCTGAAAAGGTGTGTAAGGCAAGCAAGTGGGCCTGTTCTTCGTCGTCGTCGTTGCAAATATGAGTGACAATAAATTTTCAATTTGGATGAAATTGCCTCCCTCCTTTCCCTTCAACGGATAAAGAGCGCAGCAAGCATGGGAAAGGATTTTCGCTCCTTCTGCTTGGTTGCTGCGATGCGATGGAAGGAGAGCTCGACGAGTAATAATTTCGAAATTGATTGTAACGTGAGGTGAAACAAAGGAAAGTTTTGCGTTTGAATTTTCTGTGAGGCGAAATAGACTGCTCTAGTTCTCCGCCGGTCGTTTCTCTGTATCGGTTGGAAATGGTTGGAATAAAAGTCGAGTTTTTGGCAATTGAAAAGTTTTGCTTTTGCAGGCTAAATTAGGTTGCTGCTTGGAGAAGAAGAATGTGAATGGTTTTAATGTCCGTTGGAGCGTTAATTTCCTGGTTTCTCGGATATTGAGAGGAAAACTTCCCGATATGAGCTAGGGGAAGTTGAATTGTATAGCTGTTAGAGTACAATGGAAATCATGTGGAATCATGTTATTTGAAAAGTGAGATTGAACGTGATTAAATTATTTCTTAATTGATTGCAATACTTATATTTTAAATTTAGATTCCACAGTCAACTTTACCTAGCTCGAGTTAGGATTGATATCGATTTGCGGAGGAAGTTTGATAATGGGCATTCAAACTTCTCTGGGAATTGTCCGTGCACTTTTCAGGGGAGTTTATACACTTAAAACAAATTTGTCTTGCATGCACTTTTCAGGGGAGTTCATACACTTAAAACAAATTTGTCTTGCATACAATGTATCGTTGGGTTTATTACATCTGCTGCATATGTTTCAAGCAACTAATGTTATGGCAGTTTTTGCAATGGAAGCGTGGAAGATAGTTTTCCCAGAATGTATATTTTGGTATAGCACCTTCTCGAGATGATTTTCTATGCGCAATGCATATGAAGAAAGAAACTAAGCTTTTAATATTTGACTAGTAATTAACGTACTGACTTCAAGTTACTCCGTCTACTGGTATCTGCTAAAGATTCATAATCTTGCTTAAATTAGTGGCGTCTATTAAAAGTTCTTGTGAAAATGTTACAAAGAGTGTCGTTATTATCGCTTGCTGATTTTTATTAGTATATGAAGACATCGATTTAAAAAAAACAGGTTTTACGTCTTAAAAATTGGTAGTTAACAAACTGAACTGAAAGAATTGTATGTTCGTATTTTAAAGTTGGATGTCGAGATGATTATTTATTTATTTATTTATTTGGAGGGAAAAGCCCACACGAGTGGACGCAAAAGCTCATCATTTCAGTACCAACAGATAACATGAAATACTACAGATACATTTGCTTGAACTAAGTCCTAAACATATAAAAAGATATTAATGATAACACAATTAACTTAATTTAAATACAGAAAACAGAAACCGTCAAGAAGTTAAAAGTTCATTATAAAACAGATTCTTAAACCTAACACGGGAGATATTAAAATCAAAGCAGTTATAACATTTGTTGAAAATCTTGCACATGCTAGTTAACAGCTCATTAGCGCCGTAGTTTGTGCGAGAAGCTGGGATGTTGAAACAATAATAAGAACGTAAATTTACGCGTCTGATATACTGCTGCAGAAGTGAACCGCAGTTGATGTCCGATTGCAGGAGATCAGCGATAAAGGTAGCCTTAGAGACGCCTCGGCGAAGACTAATAAATTGTAGGGACATCAAATTACAGCGACTTTCATAACTAGCGAGATTGAAAAGAGCACTCCAGGGTAGCCAACGAAGGGTGAAACGTACAAATCTTCGCTGAATGGCCTCAATACGATTCACCTCGTTGCTGTAAAAAGGAGCCCGTACTATGGAACAGTACTCTAATGTGGAGCGGACTAGCGAACAATAGAGTGTTTTTAAACAGAAAATGTCCCTAAAGTCTTTGGCGAAACGAAAAATTAAACCAAGTTGAGAAGATGGCTTAGCGGAAACATAAGCCACATGGTCCTTGAAGGTGAGTTGTGAATCAAGTAGAACGCCTAAGTCTTTAATGGTAGATTCACGGCTTAATATTTGCTCCCGAGGCTGCAAGCATAACATATAGGTGATTTTTTCCTGGAAAACGTTATAATGGCACATTTAGAAGCATTTAATACCATCCTGTTCTTGTCACACCAAACAGCAAAAACGTCCAGCTGCTGCTGAAGAAACAATGCATCACTTCGATCTTTGATGACAAAGTATAGTTTGAAATCGTCAGCATAAGACAGCTTCAGGCAACGGATCGAAAAGTGAACGTCATTCAGATACAATAAAAATTATGAACGGTCCCAGATGACTGCCTTGAGGTACACCAGAAGAAACAGCGAACGGTTGAGAAAAATGATCTCCAAGCTTCACTGACATATGTCGACCGGTGAGGTATGAGCGAAGCCAATCAAGAAGGGAACCGTTGCTCTAGTTTGACCACTGCAATCTCGTGATTGATTTTATCAAAGCAGCAGAAAGATCGGTGTAGATAGCATCCACTTGATGACCTCTTTCCATCTCGCGTATCATTGATGATGTGTATTGAACGAGATTTGTAGCGATCGACCTCTTCGGCATAAAACTGTGTTGTTCAGTCGCGATGTAACTAGAGCATGTGTGTTTTAAATAATCTAGCACCAATAGTTCAAAAAGTTTTGAGACTGCACATAAAGCAGCGATACCACGGTAGTTGGACACTGACTGCTTATTGCCTTTTTTGAAGACAGGGAAAACAAAAGAATCTTTCCAGGCACTGATTACAAACTAGCTTTACCCACACCTCAGTGTCAATCAGAGGGATTTTAATTGTGCTTATATAAATATATATTTTCTTACATTGCAATTATGAATGCTCTTGAAAGGGGGTGCATGCATTTGAGGTGTTCGGGGGGCACATACATGATAATTCAGCTCAACGTATCATGACAGCACTCTAAACTGGAATCTCCCGAAGAACGGGTCGATTTATTGCATGAAATCAGTTGTATCCCTAAACTAGTAACCTGCGAATAATTAGCAGGATTGAATGGGAAACCGAACCATCACCGCACTCTTCGGAAGATTCCTGTATGATAGATCATGTAGCGACTATCCAGATAGACTGATAGCTATTTATGATTACATACTAAACGCAACCAGTCAATATATACCGTATAACCATTAACGACGTCTAGAGCAAGCAAGGGATTGTGTCCCAATCCAGCCATGAGCACACAGGGGAATCAAATTTCGTAGCCATCATCCGACCAATTTCCTGCAAGAGAATATCTTGTTTAAGAACGTTGCTGTCCGGTAGATGTATATTTCTGCTTAAATATGCATACAAACGACATCCAAACGAAAGTGAAGGTGTGATGAGAGATCCTATTATCGCCTTCCACAACCTGATCCGTGCTGCAATGTTTACAACAGCGCCACACAAACGCACCGGTGCATGAGGTACCTTTACCGACATGTATAAACACCCGTCGTCGTAATTAGAGGGAATTTGATTACAAAAGGACAATCAGGGAACACTTAGATCCGCTTTTGCCGCTATACCTCCTGGATGCCAGGACGACAAACGCGTCCTCGAAGCCATTTAATGATATATTCAAATTCAATTTTCTCTCTATAGCACCGGGATTCAACTGAACCCCTTCAGTCCCCTCATTTCCCTGAATACGTATGCATTCTACACAAAAGATTGATGGTGCAAAAGGCACTGACTTGGCCCCTCGGTACGACATGCTCCGATTGACTGTACACTGGGGAATACGAAATTGATTATCTGCTTAAAGACTGCGCAATAGCGCTTGTGTGAAGTTTGCAGGTAAATTGATGGGACCAAAGTGGG